TTATTTATCGGAGAGGCAGAGAGACAGACAGAGCAAGACAGTGAGCTGCCATCCACCAGTTGACTCTCCAAATGCCTGGTATGGCTGGAACAGGGCCAGGCATAAACCGGGAGCTCAATCCTGAATCCTAATGCAGAGTGCCTGATTGGGTCCCTGGATACTCTGCTTTCAATCCAGCTTCCTGTTGAAGTGTATCCTGGGAGGAGGCAGATGAAGGATCAAGTACTTGGGGCCCTGTCACCCACTGAGGAGACCTGGATGGAATTCCAGTCTCTTGGCTTTGGCCTGGCTCAGCCCTGGCTGTTGAGTGCATTTGGCAAAGGAAACAGGACACAGCAGATATCTCTCTGCCTTTCAAATAAATTAATAAATGTTCAAAAAGTTCATGGAGGGGCTGACACTATAGTGTAGTAGGTTTAGCCTCCGCCTACGGCAAGGGCACCCAGTAGGGGTGCTGATTCAAGTCCTGGCTGTTCTACTTCCATCTAGCTCTCTGCTATTTCCACTGGGAAAACAGTGGAAGACAGCCCAAATGCTTGAGCCCCTCCAACCATATGGGAGACTTGGAAGAAGTTCCTAGCTCCTGGCTTTGGATTGGCCCAGCTCCGGCTGTTGAGGCCATTTGGGGAGTAAACCAGCAGATGGAAGATCTCTCTCTAACTCTGCCTCTCAAATAAACAACTATATAAATATTTTTTTAAAAGTTCATGGAAAATGTGATTAATGAAAAAATGATTCATGGATTTTTTTTTTTTTTTTACAGAGTGGACAGTGAGAGAGAGAGACAGAGAGAAAGGTCTTCCTTTTTGCCGTTGGTTCACCCTCCAATGGCTGCCGTGGCCAGTGCGCTGTGGCCAGCACACCGCGCTGATCCGATGGCAGGAGCCAGGTGCTTCTCCTGGTCTCCCATGGGGTGCAGGGCCCAAGCACTTGGGCCATCCTCCACCGCCTTCCCTGGCCACAGCAGAGAGCTGGCCTGGAAGAGGGGCAACCGGGACAGAATCCGGCACCCCGACCGGGACTAGAACCCGGTGTGCCGGCGCCGCTAGGTGGAGGATTAGCCTGTTGAGCTGCGGCGCCAGTTTTCTAAAAATTTTAGTTTTAAAAATTGCTTTACTATTAAACTGTTCTAAAGATCACAAATAGGCAGAAAGTAGACATGATAGGTAGTATTATTATCTCCTTTTTTAAAAAAAGATTTATTTATTTATTTGGAAGACAGAGTTACAGAGAAGCAGAGGCAGAGAGAGGGGTCTTCCATCCGCTTGTTCACTCCCCAGATGGCCACAACAGCCAGAGCTGTGCTGATCCAAAGCCAGGAGCCAGGAGCTTCTTCCAGGTTTCCCACGGAAGGGTTCAGGGGCCTAAGGACCCGGGCCATCTTCCACTGCTTTCCCAGGCCATAGCAGAGAGCTGGATTGGAAGTGGAGCAGCCGAGACTCGAACCGGCACCCATATGGGATGCCAGCCCTGCTATTATCTTAATTGTCCCCTTCTTGGGTCTTTGAATGTCTGCAAGTCAACCTTTGGATGTTTCAGCATGTGTCTTTGATGTGTAAAATGTGAATATTGTTCTCATAAGGGCGCTGTGATTATGTGAGATGCGTAAAGTGTACCACGTAGGGGCAGAGATTTAGCCCAATGCTTAAGATGCCTGTGTCCCATATCAGAGTATCTGGGTTCTATACCTGGTTCCGGTTCCTGATTCCAACTTCCTGTTAATGCAGGCCCTGGGAGGCAGCAGTGATGGCTGAAGTCATTGGGTTCCTGGCACTCACTCGGAGACCTGGATTGAGGTCCTAACTTCTGGATTCTGCCCTGGTTGGGGGCATTTGGTGAGTGAACCAGTACATGGTAGCGCTCTCCCTTTCATGTAAATTTAAAAAAAAATTTTTTTAAAAGGATACAGTGTAAGCATCATTAGAGCATCTTTCAAAAAAGTGCACATCCCCTCTTGGCTGACGACGACGGTTGTTTTCTGTTCCTTTTCTTCCTTCCACCTCTTAGCTCTGTTGAAGATGCTTTCTGTACAAATCTAGTAACAAAGGCAGCTAACATTTATCGAGTACTCAACTTAAGTCATTCCCCGTAACAGCACTCCTGCAAGGTGGGATTTAAAACTCATCTTGCATGCCCTGGAGTCAGCATTCGGCAGCCTGTCTTCAGAGCCCCTCTCCTAGCGAGTGAAAGGACTACCTCCTTCAGCTGGACAAACCTGGGTCACTTTTCCGGCCACACCCTGCTCAGAACAATCTCAGTTTTCTGTTTAAAACCACTCTTACTGCCTGCGGTTGCCAAGAAGGACTCTTGCCCCTTGCTGAGGCCCATGTAAAGGTAATTTAAGTCACCCAAATAGGCCCAGCCCAGCTTCGTCCTTCTGAGCTCCGTGAACTTTTCACCTTGGCTGAGGAGCCAATCTGCACCGCTGTCCCTTTATTTCTGTGTTCTGTGGCTTCAGGGCCAACCCACAGCGCCACTTTCTTCAGTGGCAATGGAGCTCGCTTTAAAAAAAAAAAAAAAAAAGCCAAGTACCCCACGAGTCTCTGCAGGCAAGCACATTAACTGAATAGGTGAGGCCGCCCTGGAGTCCCGGTAAGGGGCCGGAGGCTGGGGGCGCTACGAGGTACGCGGGAACACAGCCAGCGCAAAACGACCAAGGAGGCAGCCCGCAGGCCAAGGCTCCGCGCAGGCCCGGTCGGCGAGGACGCAGCAGGAGGGGCGGGGCCAAGCGCGGCAGGAAGGGGGCGTGGCCAGGGTTCGGTCAGGCCGCTCCCTGCCCCTCCCCCTCTGCTCTCCGCCCTACCCGGAGGTTCCGCCCCCTGGGTGACGTCACTGGCCTGGCCAGCCGGCGCCATTTTGAAAGTGGAGTCGCTTGCCCCTGCCGCTGAATCCGCTGTCGCTGTCGTAGCCGCTGCCGCCTCTGCCGCTGTCGCTGCTGGAGAAAGAGCACGAGCCGGGAAGCCCCAGAGTGAAACCCACCATCGGGCTGGCTGGTCTGCCCGCTCCACCTTTCTTCTCCCCCGGCCCCCGCCCTGTCCCCCCACAGGTGCCATCCGCCGCCATCCGCCCTCTCTACCCCCCCATCCTCAGGTGAGGGGGGTGAGTTCGGGAAGCCGAGACCCCGAGGAACCCAGCAGGGGCACCATTTGCAGCGGAACATGGCAGGTAAAGGAGAAATCCCCCTCGCCCACTGATCCGGCGATGCTTCCCTCCTCCTCCTTCCATCACCCCCTAGCGACCGCTCGTGCCTCTCGCGGAGCCCCGGGGCTCCCCCCGGATTTCAGGGAATTGGTCAAGTAGGGTGGGGTGGGGCGGGCAGGGCTCCGGAGAGGCGAGGCGTCCCTGTGAACTGGAAATGGCTTTGAAAATGAGGGTTGGAACCTTGGCATGGGCAGGGGTGGGGGTGGGGAATGTGCCGGCGAACCGTGGGGTAAGGCGTGGGTGGGGCGGGTGGGGGCGTGCAGATTTGTTCCTACTGCTGGAGAGCCTGGTGTGTCCTCTCCCTCCCCGCCACCCTGCCTCCCGGCTGTTTTTGCGGATCTTTATTCATTTAATTCCTATTTTCTCCCAGTGCTGCAAGCCTTCTTGGGTGTCCACACGTATTTTTGCACTGAGAAGGAAGAGCGCTTTACAAGTTAAAAGATAATGGGGAGGGGTTATGTTGTATTTTTACCTTCATTGTGGCTACCTATATGTAGCTTTCTGAGGTTATAAGCTGAATTTTTTGTTGGGAACCGTCTCCTTTCTGGTTATCAGCCTTTACGACCAAAGTGCAAGGCCTTTAATGGACAGCACATTGAATGAAGAACATCATTTAAACTTTCTGTTTTTTATGTTAGCTTTTGTACAGATGTGATTTTTTTCCCAGAAGGGTTTCATAGAGTTAGCTGAAGTAGTTGTGGAGTTAAGTGATATAAATAGCCAAAGGAAGAGCGATTGAGGCAAAAGCTTGGGAAAAAAAAGAAAAGAAAAATGTACAGAAAAAACCAGGTTGGAAATGTTTAGGAAGGAAGAGGTTATTGCTTTGAGGATTTTTTTTTTTTGGCATATTTTGTTGTTACTGAGTGTCTTCCTCGAACTAGTAGAATCAATTCTAGATTTAGATTCAGTTTTTCTGCCATAGATCCGAGACATTGTCACCATTTCCTTCTCAATGTGTGGAAGTGAAATGAAATAGAATTCTGAGAGTAAACCAGTTTTTTAATATTCTTGTAATTAAATCTTTTTATAACTATTTCTTTGACATGATAGTTAAATCGTTTTTGATAATTTGATAATTAAATCTTAAGTTAAAAATGTTGAATTGGTTTGCAGTTTGCTGTAAACAAGTTGCTCTTTGGCCTTGTTGAATAATGAAATGAGATTAAAATTGCTTTGCACAAGATGATGACAAGTTAGGAAAACTATTCTTTGCCAGGCCCTTTGGATTTTGAGGGATAAGGGGAAGGGAGTTGGAGCAAGCTTCTTTGCAGCACTCATTTTAGTTTCTTTTCTTCTCCGGTACCTGTGATTTGAAAGAAATGGATGCTGTGTTTGCTGTGTGTGCGTTTTGGTGATAGGTTTCTTATGAATCATTACTACTCACCTAGGCAATAATGCTTCCAGAGTTTTCTGTTCATTCCATGTTTTATGATATTTTAACCTTGTTAACTTCTGCACAGTTTTTATACACTTACAGGGAAATGTAACTTGTGTTATTTTCTGGTATGTCTTGTTTGTAAGGCTCTGAAAGTACTTGAAAAGAAAATGGAGGTGAAATTTTGCAAATGTACAGTGATAATGATAGATGATATACCTTTAAATATTTCATACCTTGACTCTTTTTAACAAGGCCAGTCGTAGGAGAGGAAATTTTTCTAAGTTGGTGCTCTCACTGCTTGGCTGTATGAGTGGGCAGTCCTAAGCTGTTAGTATCGTGCAAACCATGGATACCATCTTTGTGTTTACGAGAGTAAACACGAACAGAACTCAGTTTTAATTGGTATGTTTTCTTTTTCCAGGAGCTGGAGGAGGGAATGATATTCAATGGTGTTTTTCTCAGGTGAAAGGAGCAGTAGATGATGATGTAGCAGAAGGTAAGAAAGTGATGAATAATGCAAAACTTAAATATAGAATCTTTTCAGAGTCTTCTTACGGAAGGGTTTCTCAGAAGCTGGGCCTGTTATGACTGAAGAACCTTTTGTGTTTAAATTGTTCACGAAATGGAAGAACAAATTTAAAAGTCACCTTTCCAAAAACAGTCTTAAAACTCATTTTAATGTCAATTTATGTTGTTTTTCCCCCCTGCATTTACATGAAAGCCCTAGACTATGATTGATATATATAAAACTATTCCAAGAAAGCTCTGAGGTTTCTATGATAAAAGGTTTCCTTGTTATGTAAATTTCAGATACAGATAAATGATGTTGCATTTTCATGTTTGCAGAGTTTTTACATTATTAAGTTTAAATAGGTGCTGTCAACATTTAGCTCAGAAGCATTCTTGACAGCAGCTTTGATTTTCAAAGGAAGATTTTTGGCTTCTTTTGAATTTGCCTGCTTGGGAGTACAGTGTTGAGTGACATATTCCATGAAGAAATGCTGGCTCAAATAATTCATTTTATTGTTTTGCCGGGATTAATTTAGGTTGGTAAGAGAATAACAATGCTGTGGTTTTATGGCTTGTCTTTGGGAGCTTATTATTTTTATTGCAGTTAGAAACTCATCAGTTGAAATATGAGTATTTTCTCTGAAAATTTGTTGATTGTATTTCAAAAGTTCACCTGAAGTTTTGAAACATCAAGGTTCTGCATTCGTTTGAGGTAGTCGTAGGTGGTAGAGGCATTATTATAAAGTAGTTGCAGTATTTTATTATTCAGAAATGCTATTTAAAATTTGAGTTTTACTAGTATTCCATGTCTTGAATTATGGCAGTCATAAAATAAAACTCAGATAAAGCATATACTTGGGATTTTTAAGGATCTAGTAAAATTTATAAACCATCTTTATCTAGATTGTATAGTCTTTATATTAAGATCTTACTTTTGATCTGTTTGTAGACTACTGTTTGAGAATTTTTCCAGGTGGTGATAGTATGGTGACTTTGTTGAGCTACGGAATGCTTATATTTGTGTTAGTGTCATTCTTAATGAAGTGTCTGATCAGAGTGGTCAATCCTAAAGGAAACCAGTCATACATAATATATTTGACATGTTTTGTAAAGCTCTCACACTTCTTTTCTGTTGGTTCCTCAACCATTTTCACATGAGAAACCAGAGACTTAAAGAAGTTAAGAGGCTCATTGATGATCACACAGTGTGAATCAGGGTTTTTCGGGGAAGCCCATGTAGTTTGACTTGTTTAGAGAAGTAAATCCTAAACTCAAGGGAGGAGTCGTGTATTATTTGTTTTGTAATTCCATTGCCTGTTGAATAGTAGTCACTCAAGTGTTGGATCATTAGTTGTGTGTTGGGTAATTCTGATCAAGTTGTGAGAGTGCTGTAAACTTGGAAAACATTCTTGGTTGAGTTCCATGTATTTCTTTTATCAAAGTTCTCCTAAATGCTGAGCACTGAGGGTAAGTGGTGTCTAGAACATAGGCCCTACCCTCAAGGAGCTGGTAGTTTATTAAAACTTAAGGCAGAAAGACCACATGAATTTTATTTAATCAGACGAAGTTCATGCTCCAAACTGAATATCAGATACCCAACTGAACCGAGTGGTAGTTTGTGATAGATGAGGTATATCACAAGGTTAATTGAGAAATAGAATTAAACAATGTGTGCTTGCCATGAACTTTTTGAAGACCTTTTGTACATGACGGATAGTTTTCTTTTATTAATATTTAGTAGCTGCATTTTGCTACTGATACATTAATTTTAAGATTTTTAAATATTTTTAGCATGCTTAACATTCATAGTATTTTTAAATGCCAAGATTCATTATATATATTTTAGTAAAAACATAACTTGTTCTAGTATCTTTGTCTATAAAAACATATTAAAGTATAAAAAACATTTATTTTTCAGATACACTGCTTTAATTTGGATATTTTTGCATACTATAGTTTGGATATCATTGTCATGTGTTTTACTAAAGGGGGATTCTGTTTTTCTAAAGCAAGATAAAATTATTAATACATTTTCTCCCAGATACAGGCTGTAATTCTAAACAACTTCCATCTAGCTCAACCTTTCACTTGACTTAGCTATTCCCTGTTAATGATATATCTCAATTTCTTTTCCATCAAAGGCTCCAGATTGTCTGTGTCTTCCCTTCTGTATGCAGTCAGCTGCCAGGGCATACCGTTTTCCTCTCTGTAATACTTTAATCTTCTTTACATTTTCACTTTTCACCTTTGTTCAAGTTTGCACCGTCTCTCATCTGGATTTCAGTAACTTCCTAACTGATTCCCTGTTTCTTTGTCATATGTTTCACTTCTAAGTTAGTTTTAATGCCATCCCAGTTTTGTTGTTTTCCTCAGAAATCTTTGAGTCACTGTAACCACTGGATTAGGAACTAAGATTGAACATTCAGCTATGTCCAGTGTGCTCCCTCCTTCTCCAAACTTATTTGCTACTATAGCTAAGGATCGTGTTAAATGGATACAGTTCTTCAGACAAGTGCATATACTCTTGCTTCTGGGTCTTTGTTTTTGCTGCTTCTACCTTGAAATGCCTGATATTCCTCCCAACAGTTCAGATCAGAATCCTATCCATCCTTTAAGTCTGGCTTAGATCCTTTTTATGTAATAAGCTTTTGGAAATAGTTCCTTTACAGGAATGTGTTACACAGATATCTTACTTATTGTCTCAGACATCTGCTATTAACACTGTAAGCTTAGTTCAGTGCTAATTTATCTTTATGCTTTATGTAGGCCATCCTGTATAAATTGCTGTGCGTAGAACAATGCCTGGTACACAGTAGGAGTTGAATACTTGCTCAGTGAAGGTTTATCAGGAGTATCCATGTTATTGTTACTAGGTTCTGAAAGGGGAAGAGAACAGGTCAAAGATAATGTAATTGAGATGCATGTTTATTTATTTATTTATTTTGAAAGATTTATTTATTTGAAGGTCAGAGTTACACAGAAAGAGAAGGAGAGGCAGAGAGAGAGAGAGGTCTTCCATCCGCTGCTTCACTCCCCAATTGGCCACAACGGCCAGAGCTGTGCCGATTTGAAGCCAGGAGCTGTTTCCGGGTCTCCCACAATCTGGGTGCAGGGGCCCAAGGACTTGTGCCATCTTGCACTGCTCTCCCAGGCCACAGCAGAGAGCCAAATCGGAAGAGGAGCAGCCGGGACTAGAACCTGCACCCGTGTGGGATGCTGGTGCTTCAGGCCAGGGCTTTAACTCGCTGTGCCACAGCACCGGCCTTCGAGATGCATTTTTAGTAAGTGTAGATTTATTTACTTGGCATGGTTTATAACTGGATTGATGGTACATTGCTGTGTACTACAAAGAGGAGACCTTCACTTTTTACTCTGCCTCTAATACAACCTGATATATGTTAATTTTGGATAAGTATTTCTCTGGGTTCCTGTATGTTTAACCATGAAATGAAAAGAATGAATTAGATGGTTCCTGCTCTTGGGTATACTCTAATCTTCATTCTTGAAGATCTTTTAGCATGAAATAGCCCAACATTACTGCTACTAAGTTAAATTGTTTGAGGTGTTGTACTCTCTAGTGGGCTTAAAAATAAATCTTTACTGAACCTGGTTACTTAGAATTTTTCACTAAGTGGGGCCGGTGCTGTGGTATAGAGGGTGAAAGCCGCCATCTGCAGTGCCAGCATCCCATATGGGCGCTGGTTTGAGTGTCAGCTACTATACTTCTGATCCAGCTCTCTGCTATGGCCTGGGAAACCAGTAGAGATGGTGTAAGTCCTTGGGCCCCTGCCACCCATGTGGGAGACCCATAAGAAGCTCCTTCCTTCAGATTGGCCCAGCTCTGGCTGTTGGGTCCATTTGAGGAGTGAACCAGCAGATAGAAGTCTGTCTGTCTGTCTCTCTCTCTCTCTCTCTCTCTGCCTCTGCCTTTCAAATAAATAAATAAATCTTTAAAAAAATTTTTCATTAAGTAGATTATAAAGCTAACACAGAACTTGACGTTAGACCATATATATTTTTAATGTCTTTTGGCCCACTGAGGCCCTTCAGCACATTTGCAACCTGTATTGGGCTATTCGGCTATTTATTCTCAGGCTTCAGGTAGCCTAAATGATTTATTTACAGCTAGTATAGCTACTTGTCTTGGAGAAGGGTGAGGCACCAAAATCTCTATCATTATGATAATCTCCATCACCACGATTATATTTTAATCCTAAGAGTAGCACTGTATCATATTTTGTACTTCTGATATTTCCTTTATTGACACTATCAAAAAGACAAGTAGGTAAGAGTGTAGACTCAGGTACAATCTTCCATGGTTTGAATCCTCCTCGGTCACTCATTAGCTGTATGATCTTAGGCAAATTGTTATTTTTTTAAGGATTTACTTTTATTTGTTTGAAAGACAGAGTTAGAGAGATGGAGAGACAGAGAGAGAGAAAAAGAAATCTTCCATCCACTGTTTTATCTCCCCAAATGGTCACAATGGTCAGGGCTGGGCCAGACTGAAGCCAGGAGCTTCTTCTGGGTCTCCCACGTTGGTACGTGGATCCAAGAACTTGGGCTATCCTCTGCTGCTTTCCCAGGACATTAGCAGGAAGCTGAATTGAAGTAGAGAAGCTATGACTCAAACTGGCACCCATATGGGAAGCTGGCATGGCAGGTGGTGCTTTACCTGCTACTCCACAATGCTGACCCCTGATCTTGAGCAGGTTCATTTATCTCTTTGTGCTTGCTTCTTTCTGTAAAATCTGAGTAACAGTAAAAATCTGTCTTATGGTGTTGTGCATGTAAAACAGTACCGGATACATAGTAAGAGCTTTGTTAGGATTTAGGTATCTTTATGACTTGTCATGTTTATAGCAATTAAGGGAGAGTCGTTGGGAGTAGGAGGAAACTATGGAATTGTCTATAAGTGCTATTGAGAATTTCTTGGCCAAAGTGAAGGACACAGTTCCTAAAAGTGTTTTATGCATATTCTTTAAT